CACACACACAATTACACATACACACACGTTCACTGCGTCAGTCTCCTAACCCTTAGTCACTGCTGCCTGTTTTCAGGTCTTGGAGCGACACAGAGAACTTCTACTCCAACGATCGCACCATCCTGACGCTGTCGCCCATCGAGGCCACCCACTGCTGACTCCCAGGGCCACTGACTGTAACACACAAGAGTTTGGGGAGAGCTACTGCTCTGCTATGAGTCATAATCACGCCCCCACCCCTCCTGCCACCATTTTATAACCCCCTACTTCAGTTTAAAGATGCAGACGCAGACGGGAGCCGTCGCTTTATGTGAAACCAAAGGACTCGCCCCCCCGTGCAGCAAGCTGCTTTATCCTTCACCAGTTTGTTTCCCCGAGAGAATCCATTCTTAGTAGAAAGCTTGAGAAGGACGTCAGATGGGAGCTGAAACGTGGAAGGAAACAAAACATGAATTGTGGAGCAAGTCAGCGTGACACGAAGCCGACATCTGCGGAGCTACTCCTGCAGAAAGATCTGCTCATAATCTGAGCAGCAACATCAGATTCCTGCTGTTTACAGGGGGTCTGCAAGTCCTGCAAAAGCATCGGAAAACACCATAGTAAATTCTGTACCTTTTTTAAGATGTGTCAGCTCTTTGAGATCAGCCCAGGTACATGAACTCTCATGCAGCTATTTATTATTCACTTTAAGTACAGTTGCTAAGCTTTTTCTTGCAACGGTCATCAAAATGAGAGAAAGTCTTACATATTTGTAGACACAGAATGGAGATTCCTGATGATCTGGACTTTTTGCTACGATATTATCTAATGTCAGGCATCAGTCGCGCTCGCAGCATTGCAGCATAAGGACTGTGACTGTGAAAGAGCAGGCTCTGACATGCTTGTAGACACCAGCCTCCCGGATCATCCATGTAGCATCAGGACAGAAGCTGCGCAAACTACATTAGAGGAAACCTCCGAGGTTCCCAACTTCATATTGCTTCCATAAATGGCTACATAGACTTCCTCTTTGAGCTGTCGGCCACCGCTACACCTTTGTTTCTCTTTCAGATGGAAAGGGGAAAGAGCTATCCCACTCTCAGTCCTGTAGCATTCAGAGCCTGGCTGGCCCTAACTGCTAGACTTGTCTCCCTCGGCCCTACAGTGCAGACCTACGATACTTTGCAAGGAGATTTATCTCTGCCGTGGAACCAAAGACCAAAGGATTCAGACTGGAGTTTAAAAGATAAAGTGTTTATTTTTGTGCCTGATTGTACAGAAGCTTATATTGTTCAGAAGACTATTATTGTTCGTGCTGCTTTCTCGTCTGACTGTTCAGGCCTCTGTCTCCCCCGGCGCTTTTGCCCTGAAGGAGGCCTGATGGGGTCTGTTTAAAAAGCCATATATTTTCAAGAGGTTATATTATTGATAGATTATTGAAGGTACCGCAGATAGAAGCTGTTTGAGCCTGTTGTTGTTTCTGTGTTCCCCTTAAATGCCTTTTCTCATTCAGCCTGGTTAACAAAGGCGTCTCAGGCCACGATGCTCCGGGAATATTTTTAAGGTAAAAGTTTTTATAACATCTGTACGAACAGACAGGAGGTACAATCATCCCTCTTGGTTTGCTCAAAAATATTTCCCGAGTATCGGATCGGATAATGGTACCATTTGGCTTTAATGGTGAGATGCTTTTCCGAACCGCGGCTGATGCACATCGACCCAGACGGCAGAATGTCTCTATCTTTAGAGAGATAGATATCAGATAAATAGAATTCAGCTTCAGTAGCGATGAAAAGAAAAGCAGAGCGTTTGCACAAGTCACATATCGAAATCACATTTTGTTGTTTTTCTCAAATCATTGCTTGTTTCTCACCATTGAAATCATCTCATGTTTTTGCTGTTACGTTGTTCTTACCACATGTTGATGAAGTGTGTGTGTGTGTGTGGGGAAGTGTTGGTGTGTTTCTTGTGTGGCAGCCATGTCGAAGGAAGTACGGTAGCCTTGTTGTAAGCTCTTGTGCGATCTCAGCGGCCACATGCTGCCTGCAGGTCAAAGGTCAAGGTTTCTTCCTCTTTGTCCCAAAAAGAAAAGAAAAAATGAATTGAGGAAAAGCTCGACGGTTCTTTTTTTTTTAGCAGACTTCAGTTGAGTTGAGTGTAATGTAGGAACCTTTCAAGACAACCGTTTTAAACTTGACATCAACAGCCACACAACAATGACCGGTACATGCCTCAGCTCACACAGAGAATATAGGATGTTTGTGTCGCTACAGTAACTGTTCAGAGACAGTTAGGTGTTCCTCAGCAGCTCCAAATCAGAGGGTCAATAATGTTTTTGTTAGTCAGTTCATTGAATATTCTATTTTCTATAAGGTACACGTTTGATGCATAATTGGGCCTGTTATATCCTTTCTGTTCATACAGGTTACAATGAAAGTGTCTATTTATTATCGCAGTACTTTTTTGTTTCCTGTGTTTTCGTTGAGCCTTTTCTTACATATCAATATATATATATGTGCGTGTCCTGTTCATGGCCTGAATGCAGCAACTTCCCAGGATGTTTTACTTGATCTTAGAGATGTAATCAGGAGGTTGAACCTCCATCGAAGCTATTTTTATTTGACCTGAAAGGTGACAGCGTAGCTGGGAAGCTGTCAGCTGCAAACCTGAATGTTAGTTTGTTACAGGACATTTAAAAGGACACTTGGGAACTTCCAGTTACATCACTCCATCCAAAAACCCAACAGTTCTTTTTTTGAGCTCATATATGTTATTAAAATGTCTACCTGGATACACCTGTGATACTTGCAATCTGTACCTGCATTAGGAAAAATAATGCTGTTTAAACAGTTCACCAGTTTTATACATAAAATGTCAGTTTAGCTATCATAGAGAGCACTAGCCAACCTGTGAAAACAGTTGTATAATGTCCTCTGTGGCTCTGAAGGGAGCTCAGAAATCCACCCTGATGTCCTCTTGAGTTAGAGTTGAAACTTTGGAGGGTCCAGTATTTTTGGAGCTTCAAACGAGACACTTAAATTCAGGAAATCCTGGCCTCTGCTGCATTAATGTTGACCATTCTTTTTTTATGGAACTTTACGGAAATGCAATACTAAATCCAAGAGTACCCCTTTAAAGGGCAAATTTGATGCAGCAGAGGCAGAGCAACTCCAGCATCTGTCCAACTCCACACAAGTCTCAAGTGCAAGTTGCGATAACGGAGTTAACTTAGAAAAGCTCCTCCAGAGCACAAAAGTACAAAATAGCATACAGCTGTTTTCACAGGATCAGTACTGCCTTATGACAACTAAATGTTTCCTATATTGATGCATACAAACAGCAAACATGCAAAACCACATGCAAAGCTGATCAGAATTATGTGAAAGGATAATCGTCATCTTAATGTCAGAGTGAATTCCACTGAAGGTCAGTAGTTGACTTATTGAATCATCCCCCAGCCCTGGAGGTGTCAGAGTCAGCCACGATCAAATGTACAATATTCACGCAGGGAGTTAAAAACCTAAAACTGGACATTCCTCCTGTCTGGGATAAGCATTACACTCTGTGTTCAGGGGGATTTAGGGGAATCAGAGCTGTGACCCTGCAGCGTTATTACATGATATCAGAGCAGATGGCAGAGGAGGGAAGACGAGTCCTCCCTGGCCAAAGGCAAATAAGGCAGCAATGTGCAGAAACACCTACAGTGTTAGAGTAGTTCTGATGCCCCCTTGTGCTCACCTACGGAAACCCAAAGTGTTCAAAATGAAACCATTATGATATGAATAGGTGTGTCCTATTTACAGGGATGTACAAATAAATGATAGTGATGTATGATTGACAGAGTTGGTGATCGAGAGCAGCATTATGAATGGTATGAACTAAAAATGACCTGCAATAAAACACTTATTGTGAAAAGAAGCAGGATGAAGTAGTTTTAAAAATCTAAAGGACAATTTCTTGGTTATATATTTCTCATTTGGACACTTTGGGTCTCTCCATTTACCTCTACTGAGAGTGGAAACAAAGGCACCATCCAGTCTCTGTTATCATCCAAAGCAGACAACCAGAATACGTGTAAATGCAGTTATGTAATTGCATTTTTATCAAGACTGTATATCCAGGTACAGATTTTTTGTTATATATATATATATATATAGAAAAAGTTCATTATAATTGGGGCCCAAGTGGCACTCGAGCGATATCCTTACTGCTGTTCATGCAGAAAACAGATGCTATATTTTTCTAAGATCATATCAGATGTGAAATAAACCAAGACGTAATTCTCCGAAGCGTCACAGCGCTGACGTCATCCAGTCTTCATCATGAGAGCAGCGGGGTTCAAACACGAGGCCTCTGGTACTTCCAGAAGCAGGAGATTGCTCAGCCGGATCACTTTTATAAATGGTAGTTTAATATTTTATCAAGGCTCGACTAACAGATGATGATCATGTCATCAATCAGAAAGCCCCCGTCCACGTTTAATTGGATTCCTTATTAAAGACGCCAAGGGCTGTTAAATTCTGTCTGCGGGTGTGGTTTTAAGCCAGATATTCCTGCTTCTGGAAATATTGCCCATAAATTTAATATGTGTAAAGAGCAGCATTAGCGGTACAGCCATGTGTGTCCGTTGCTCGAGGAACTTAATAATCTGTCTCTTTCGTTTAGTCTTTATACATACAAATGATATCATTGGCAGTGACCAGACCTACTGTCTGTGATATTAGTCTTCAGAAATGATCCTCAACTATTAAATTTAAGTTTTTATGGTCATTGGGAAATTTTATTAAGGGTCAAACTAAATCTAGCACTGCCAGGAAGTTTCAGGAACAGAAGTTTTGAACTGAAGACCAGGTGACGTCGGTGCAGAGATGCTCTCGGAAAACTCAGCCACGGTTTACAGACACGAATCAAATTAAGGTTTCCTTGATCAAATCAGCTAAAAAGAGGAGTCGGAATTTAAATGTCAAGCGATCAGTTTTCTGCAGCGAAGTGTCCTGTGACTCAGCATCAGCCAGCGCGACACGAGACTGCAGATCATGTCAGTGCTGAACAGTTTGTGGAAATCATTTTTAATCTCATCGATAAATCGTGCTGCACCAGACGATTAATAAACCACCATCATCACTCTTCTGTTTGGTATCTGTTGATGTGTCCGTCTGTCTGTCCTCCCTCCTCCTCTCTGTAAATCTGTCTTATAGCTGATGTTTATGAAGATGCGGTTCTATTTACGAAATAAAAACATTTTTAAGAAATGGGTCTTTGGTGTGGAACTTCATTTGAATGCGCTGTTACATTAACAGACATTAACTGAGCAGAACCAAAGAGGGAACGACAGCAGAGCGGAGCGGCTCACGACTGATAAACAGCTCGGGAGAACTCTCCATGTAGTTAATGAAGGAGAGAGCGAACACAATTAAGACTATCAGGCAGATAGCAATTAATGCAAAAAACTCAGATTCACTCTTACATGACGATCTGAAGGGCTGCTCAATTACAGAGTAGCAAGTTCAATTAAAAAGTTCATTTTGACTCACAAGCTGGCAGTTTGCATAGCCACTGATATAAAAGCACACAAATAGGACAACGCAGCAGTCGGTAAAGTAACTGGGGAAAATAAAAAAAATAAAAAGGCAGTCTCATGGAAAACCAATGATCTACATGGGTGTTTCTGTGCCACCACCTCTGCAATCAGACTCCTTTAGTTACTCCTGTTATTGTGAGGGCCCCAAACAGCCACAAGGGGGCAACAATAAGCCCATTTGACACTTAAAGACACTAATGCCAGTGACACAAAGGTAAGATTTATGCTGTATTGGAAGTGTTTTTTAATCAGTATTCCTCAGTTTTACAAGAGAAAGGACTTCAGTTACTCAGTCTGATTAGACCTCCACGTTGAGGCGGAGGAGTGGAGATGTCAGTCAGTCACAGTATGTACACACCAACACAGATCTGAGTAGAAGTCTAAATCAGCCAAAACAACATTTAAAAAAAAAAAAAAAAAACAAACTTCATCAAGTATGACATGGGGCTTTGCATATTTTTTTAATTATTTTTATTGCAGTATCTGACCAGTTCAATATCATTTAAAAAACACAAACAAATCATCTGTCAAACATCTACAAAATGAACACAGGTGTTTATTACTTTTAGTCTACAAGGCCTCATAACACACCAGTTAGTAAGGAAAGCAGGAGATCAGCAGAAACGGGTCAATTTCACATGTCGTCTGCGAGTTAAATCAGTTGTGCTGATGGCGGATTTACACAGAAACAAACCGTCTGTTTAAAGCCCCCCCTGACCGACATTTCATCCTTTACGGGTTATTTTAAAATCAAAGCCGAGTCCGTCGTGAAAGTTGGGAATCATTTACTAATTCTGGAGTGTTTTTCTGCCGCCCAGATTTAAAGGCCTGTCTCTTAAGTGCAACGTTATGATGTCCTCCACAGCGGGCTTACAGCCGACCTCTGCGGTTTCAGTCTGGAAGGACACAATGTAAATTTTGAAAAACTGGAAATCAACAAACCCCAATACAATCTATTCCCACAGCAGTAATAAGTTCAGCCTCTTTTCTCTAACGCCCACTGTGTCCATTGAAAGTCACGGTGCGGCTTCCAAGTGTCCATTTTTGTCTCGCTTTAAGCTTTGAGACAATACATTATTAAATACTGGGAGCTTTTATGATATTTACAAGTGGTAGGACAGTTTTCTAAACTCAAAAAGGATCCACATTATCACACATACATGGCTCTTATCGGACTGACTAGGTCAATAACTCCATGACCTTTTTCCACAAAAACAAACCAGCTAAAAAGCATTACAAGTTGATTTTAAGGTCATGTAAATGTGAAGTTTTCCATCCCCTCAGTAACTATTCCTATAGCCCGCTATGGCATAATTCTGCAAGTATTTAGTCTGATTTTTCACTTGCCATCCCACCTACTTTCTTTATTATTATTTATTCATCTTCTGCGTCAGATATGCGTACACTGTTTGACACGCGGGTGTCAATCTCGTCAGTGCGAAAGGGTACTGATGAAGAAAATACCAACTCTTATACTAACACCACTGACAGAAACCCGTACAGAGGGGAGCTCTGAGGAAAAAGCCAAAAGATTCAGATTCACTGATTACTGCAAACATAAACAAAGAAAGAAAAAACAGAAACACACAAAAGTTCTACGATCAAAATGAAGGTAATCTTGTGATGTGTAAAAGGCAACTGTACATGAGAGATTTTTGCCGTGTTTATCCGCACTATGAACCTTTTCACTGCTGTCAAACCAGGTAACATTTCAGGTCAGTGTAACCGCTTATGACATCCCTAAATGCATTGTGGGTCCCCGGGGTGAGAGTTTGTCTCATCCATTCCCGACTGAACCAAACTCACTCCCAACTGATGATTCAGGTCCTGACTTTAAGAAATATCAATCATGTGCTGGCTCGACACCACCCTCGTCCCTATTGGCTCGCTTTCTCTCCAGTTGTCACAGTAACTAGTTCCGGCTCTCTCCTACCTGTCAGTGTGTATTTGTGTGGTTGTGTGTTTGAGTCTGTCTACTGGCTGCTCCCCTCCCCTTCCCCCGCCTCCTCCTCCTCCTCCAGTTCCACCAGAGGAGCGTGGCGATTGGCCTGCGAGCCCTCGCTGAAGAAAACCTTCTTGATCACACCGGACTTGGGCGCCCGGATGGTGTGCTGCGGATACAAAAACAGACAGCGTTACAAAGAGCGCGCCTGCGATAAGCGAAGGTGAGAATGTGTGTCGGGCGGCAGGAGGTGCTCACCTCCATCTTCATGGCGATCATGACCATCAGCGGGTCTCCTACAGCCACTTTGTCTCCGGCCTTCACCAGCACCTGAACACAATACAGATTACCCATAATGCACCTCAAAGATAATGAAGGAATTATGTCTTTTTTTTAACTTAACTGGATTGCTGTAATTCTCTTTTTAAATTTGTGAAACCATCTTTAAATTCTTTCCAGTTCTTCGTCTATGGCGGTCAGTCTGCTCTCAGTCTCATTACACTGGCTGCCGGTTCATTTTAGATGTAAATAATAATACACTTAAATAAAAATAAAAATAGACCAGGTGGAGGAACACAGTTGCATTTCTTTCCTATATTACAGTGCTCATACTAGAGCTACTTACCAACAGTTTCAGCAGTGAGTTAGTGGAGGCATGGTGTGACGTTAAAGTATTGTTGCAGTGTTTGCTGCGTTGTTATAATTTAGCAGTGATTAAATAAGATGACAACACTGAGCATCAAAGCTAATTAACAAAACCAAACAAAAACTAATAAAGTTAAACTAGTTTAAAGACTCTGGGTAAATACACTGTTGTTAGTTTTCTTGCTAAGTTTGATGACAGGCTTGATACCACTCTTGTGTCTGTGCACTAAATATGAAGCTGGAGCTGTTAGCTTTAAAAGTGCTGGTACAATAGGTGGATGTAAAGGCTTTGTGGTGAGCCAGGCTAGCTGTTTCCCTCTGATTCCAGTCTTAATGCTATGCTAAGCTAACCACCCACTGGCTGTAGCTTCAACTAGTTTGGCTGGAAGAAAAATAAACAGATTCCTTTGCCAATTACACCAAACTCACCTTCTCTATGGTTCCAGTCATGGGGGCCACAGCTCCACCCTGGGCCCCGGAGCCACTCACACCAGCCAGATACTTGGGCACTGGAACAGACAGCTGGGAGCTTCCCTCCTGTAGAAAGGATATAAAGATGTCAGAAACAGAAGTGACAGTTAACTGGCAGCTGAGGTTTTTGGACGCTCTTTAATTCCCCCTCATGTTAGATGCCGGGCGCTTGTCCCCCCCAGTCACTTGTCTTAAAAAATGACAGCTGCCAGAGACAGGAAATAGAGAGTTTCTGCAGTGACAGCTGAAGAGTAGTTCTCGTTAAATTCACTGAGGAAAGTGGATTTACAGCTTCTACAAAATCTTATTTTAAATGAAGTCGCAGTAAATCAACTGTAAACAGGAGAAGCTAACACACTTACATAAGCCCACCTAACTAAAACTTACAATGTTTGGGTTTAAGAAAAAAGCAGAAGCGCCAAATATTCTCTGGTTCCAGCTTTCTAAACACGTGCCTACTGTTTTGTCTTATGTGATACTAAACTGAATACACAGATTTGAATTTTACATCTAAGCATTTAAATTTACATTCCACTTATTTCTATTGTCAGCAGTAGTGGGAGGAACGTACCGTGGAGAACAGGTGCACTGTATTGTCCAGGATAACCAGTTTGGGACGAGACTTCACACCATTGACGGAACAGTGCAGGAATGTCGCTCCACTTTCCATCTCCACCTCTCCAGTCACATGGTACACCTCCTCGCCAATCTGAACGAGGGAAAACATTTATGATAAGTGTGAAGGCAGACCCACTACTACAGATTCACCTTTAACTGCTAATAGTGTTACTTTTCAGAAACTTTAGCTCAGTATTCAGTTGGCCAAATAAAAGCTGTGATATGTGGGTGAAAGCTCCAGAAAGAGCCAGTACAGGGACCTTGAGTTGACTGAGTTGGGCCAGCAATTCATTTTCAAGTTTAAGGGAATTTCTTTGTCCTTATTTGTGCAAGAAAAAAAACGACAAATGAAAACAGTGATGAATGATTATGGCTGCAGGACGTATTTCAGCTCACCTGCATTGTGTAGCTTCCATCGCTGTTGTACACGGCGACCACATCAACTTCTACAGACACAAACACAAGAGACGAAATGTTTTGTTGTTCTGAATGTCCGAACAGGCTTGACAGGAGGACTGAAGCAAACAAGAGGCGACAATGCAGTAACTTAATGCAGAGGCAGTATCGTCACAGCGACACAGCAGCGACCGGGGGATTTATTTTTGGCCTCGCAGTGACATTTTAAATAGAAACAATGAATAATGAATATGAGTTCATTAACAAACTGTCACCGACCGGAGCAGCTCTAATCTTAATTATTCAAACAGTCATTAAATAAATCAGATTAATTTATGAGTCATCCCTAACTGTACTGATCTGCTTATTAAAACTAACACAATGCCATTTCTTCTTCTTCTTCATGATTTAACTGTAATCTGTCATTCTATAACTCTAAAGCATTATTAACATTAATATAGTAGTACACCTAGCTAAAACCAATGCAGTGTAATACAACTATCTTGCAATGAATCATCACTTCACAGTTATAATGTTCTGTTTTTATTAAGGAGTTTTCAATTTAACTTTAAAATAATTTTGGAGGATGTATTGCACTATACAGAGGTGTCTGTTATTTGGTCTACTTTCATTGTCAAAAAATGGGATGGAGAAAATAACTGAATCCAGACTGATAACTGTTGTTGGGAGGTAGCCAGATCACAAGGTTTTGTTGAACACCTGTTAGTCTCTGTTGCTTACTTAAAATCTAGAGTTTCAAATGATTGTCATGTCAGAATGACAGAAAAAATTTTGATGCAGAATCTTGATCCAGTCCATCGAAAGAAAATTAAAACACAACAATGGTAATAGATTAACTATTTAAGTCATTTATTGAGGTAAACTTACTAGTATTTGCTGAAACTAGTGTCAAAAATTAAGATTTGCTGAGATTTGCTGCTATTCTTAGTTTAGATTTTGTACATTGAATATTTTGGCTTTGGTCTGTAGGTGGGATGTATTATTTTACATTTGAAAGTGCAGTCCATCCTATCTCAAAATCTGGCTCACTATTTTCTACCTTTATCCCTCATGCCTCATCTCCCCTCCCTTCCTATACACTAGGGGGCAGTAAAGACTCACCAGCTGTCTGTTACTTACTTTTGTCTCCCAGCTGTAGCGTCATGTTTCTATTAAACTGAATGTTGCTCCTCCAGCCGCTGCTGGAGCCAAAGGGGGAGAACGGGTCTGAAACCACACACAACCACGTACAGTTAGTAAACCGTTGCTTTTTCATGTCGTATGTGCTATGAATCGTTTGTGCTGGTACCCTCTCACCGGTGGAGGTCTGTGTGAACTCCTGTGTGTGCTTCCTCTCCTGCAGCACCAGGCCCAGGGCCGCCTGGCAGATCGTTTCCCCAGAAGGAGTTCCCGGAGTTGGGAAGAGGTCAGCGTAGTGCTGAGGGATGAAGCTGGTGGTCACGTTTCCAGCCTCAAACTCCGGGTGGCCGGAAAGACTCAGCAAAAAGTCAATGTTAGTGTTCAGTCCCACGATCTGAGGACAGAGAGGATGAATTACAGGCATTTCTAAACGTACTGTATAATCTAAATCAAATGCTACACGTAGGGACTTTCGGTTCAGTTGCTTGACAACATGACGGCGTTTGACTGTGTGTCTTACGTTGTACTGTCGTAAGCAGTACCGCAGCTTCTTTAAGGCAGCGGATCGGTCTTCTCCCCACACCACGAGCTTGGCGATCATCGGGTCATAATGTGCAGACACCTCGTCCCCTGAAAAAAAATAAAAATAATATATATATATATATATATATATAACGCAATGACAGAAGGTAGAATACTGGACACTTAATGTGGGGTAGGCAATTCTAGGTGATGCGATTCTAATCAAGCGAATATCTCCTCTTTGTCCAGCTGTGTGTCAGGTAACATTAAATGACTTGCCCACAGATATTCAACTTACTTTCTAGTTTGCCAAGATATGTTGTTGTGATGTTAGCTATAGTAGCAGGAGAGTTGTGAATACTGCTTTCTGAGCCGCTCTGGGAAACCATCAGTTACATTATCTGCTGTGGAAAACTACACATGTGAACACAACCAGAGTTAGATCTAGACTCCCTACCATCCCTGACTCCAGTCTCTATGCGTGTGTGTTGGTCTGGTGGAGGGGTGGAGAGATGCAGTAGAGGCCCCGCCCCTGGAAGGAAGTCGTTGTTCGGGTCCTCGGCGTAGATTCGAGCCTCAAAAGAGTGTCCCCTTAAAACGATGTCATCCTGGAGGAGAGGCAGGCGCTCTCCTGCTGCCACCTGGAGGAGATTAAGAGTGATCAGTGTGACTTTTGTTGACAAAAGGTAATGTTTTCAACTAGCAGTCAGCATTTCCTCCCTCTGTTTTCCTTTTTCTCCCTCCCTCCCTCCTCTCTCACCCGGAGCTGCCACTCCACCAGGTCCGTTCCAGTGATCATCTCAGACACAGGATGTTCCACCTGCAGCCTGGTGTTCATCTCCATGAAGTAAAAGTTATGCTGGGCGTCCATTATAAACTCCACCGTACCTACGCAGGAAGACAATGAGATGTCAACATACCGTGTGTTCTGGGTCTGAAGCCCTGTGGTGAGATGTGTTTCGGTGTTTGGGTTTGTGTGCCTCACCTGCCCCGACGTAGTTGACAGCCTTGGCTGCTTTGACTGCTGCCTCTCCAAGTTTCCTCCGAACCTCAGCACTAATACCAGGCTGAAAGACACACACAGAATGCACACTGAAAATACAGTAAGACACAAAGGCCTGGAGGATTATTCCAGAAAAGTGGCTCGACTCACTCACCCCTGGTGCTTCCTCTATGATCTTCTGATGTCTCCTTTGGACGCTGCAGTCTCTCTCAAACAAATAGACAGCGTTACCGTGCATGTCCCCGAACACCTGAACCTCCACGTGTCTACAGGAGGCCGACAGGCAAGAATGAAAGGACAAATTAATCTTCTTATGTGAACATTAGTAAACGTAACAGGATGGTAGAACTAGCGGTATGAATAAATGAATATTACCTGGGATCTTCTACAAACTTCTCAACCAACATGACGTCATCGTTGAAGGATTTTCTGGCTTCTCGTCTGGCAGACTCCAACTGCTCCAAGAAGTCTGAGTCTGACCGTGCAATACGCATCCCCTAAACACACACAAACAAACATGTACACACAAGGTTATGTTATATTTCCTGAAGTTACATCAAGGTTATTTGTGCTTTTTCACATCTTCTCACCTTCCCTCCTCCCCCACGGACTGCCTTAATCATCACAGGGTATCCTATCTTGGCAGCCTCTGATTGCAGCCTCTCATCTGATTGGTCCTCTCCATGGTAACCACCAATGATTGGCACCCCAGCTGCTGACATGATGTGTTTGGATGTGCTGAAAAAGGAGATAATATCAGTATTAGTCAATCGTATTTATTTGTTTTATTCAACTCCTTTCTGCAATACATACATTTTCAATAACATTTTGAATTAGATACCAAAAAACATAAAACAATTATTTGATGTGATAATAATCAGAGACAACCGGAGAGGGAATATAAATGCATATTGTTTGTGTGTTACCTTTTAATGCCCATGTCTCGGATGGCAGAGGAAGGTGGCCCAATGAAGATGATGCCTTCCTGTTTACACGCCTCCGCAAACTCTGTGTTTTCTGACAGGAAGCCATAGCCAGGGTGGACCGCCTGCACACACAAACAACTCTTTTTTTTAAATAAAACATCACATTTAATTCAATTTCAAAGTACCATGACATCTACCACGATGTAGTCCAAACAACCACACAGAAAGTAATGCTTACCCCACCTTTAAAAACACCTAAACATCGTAATCTACAGTCAGATCCTTCAAGAAGGACTAAAGGGAAGTAACAGCATTAATTCTCTTTCCAAAACTGTTCACAACAAGCAGAAGATTACTTACATGTGATCCAGACTTCTTGGCCACTTCCAAAACTTTCTCCATAGAGAGGTAACTCTGCTGGGAGGGCGGAGGGCCAATGTGGTAGGCTTCATCTGCCTAGACGGGAACCAGAGCAAGAACACACTGTTTCTAAATGAACATTAATGGGCACCTCTTTAGCAACACGCTGTCTGGTTGTGTTTGTTAAAGCAGCTGCAGAAGAAGTAGAAGAGCAGAGAGCAAAGACCGAGAAGTAAATGACAACAAATGCTAAAAGGACGCAGGGCTTTGCAAGACGGAGCGATGCAGCATCTCACCATGGCCACGTGCATGGAGTGTTTGTCTGCGTCACTGTACACAGCCACAGAGCGGACGCCCATCTTCTTGGCTGTGCGCATCACACGACACGCAATCTCTCCGCGATTGGCAATCAGCACCTTCTCTATCCTTCCAACCCCTGGAGGAGAAGACACACACAAGAAAACACTTTTCTTAAAACTACACAATAGTCATCAAAGTCACAGATGTCTTCTCACTAATTAATTAAATCAAAATGACAAAAAAGTTGGAATTGACTTCTTTACAACTTCTGTTCTGTAGTTTAAGTTATTTATCAAGCTGAAAAACAGAAACATTTTCTGTTTCCAGCTTTTGAAATGTGAAATGTGTTGCTTTGGTTTGTTTTATATAATTGAAGAATAAATATTTTGGAGTTTTGAAAATGCTGACTGGACAAAACAGGCAACATGGATTTGCCATTATTTCTTTCTCATTTCACATTTTATAGACTAAACTTTATTTTTTTTTAATAAATTGATAAATAAGAGTTAGTTGAGGCATTTAAGTGTATTTTCACCATAACACTTGTATGTATGTATGTTTTAATGAGCCTGGCTCAAAAGGTTAAACATCTCTTGCACTGCAACAGAAAACGTGACCTAACTCAGCTATAAAAGACAACCTCTAACAAATGTATACAGCAAATGTAATTACGGTTGCTTAGAACATTACATTTCCTTCACTCACCTCCTGAAACAAGCCTCACGCCTCTTTTGGTCCATGACAATTTTCTGAGGAGAGAGGAGAGGGCAGCAAGTTCAGTACCATTCAAATGTCTACATGGTTGTGAAATGGACCCGTGGCTGATTGCTTAAATATATATATCGTAACTAGAAAGCAAAACTAAATAAGTGAGCTGAAAGTGAAGCGGCACAGGCACACTCATGTTAGGGATTAGTCATTTCAATACATTTTAATACACGTAGATGTGAAAGCCTGCATTTTATAAAGCTACAAAGAATGGGTTATCTCCAAAGCTCTGACCGTCGCTCTAGTTTCATAAATAATATTATTTGGTGGAGTTATTTATTCTCTTTTAGGGCGCTGTCTCTCGGAATTGGTTGGGTCGTGTGCCAAGAGACTGGGACCAGTCTGAGCACCAACAAGGATGCACCAAGTCTAAAACCACGGTGGTCTCCCATCATTATAGTCCCACCAATCACAATGTTAATTATGCAAGCATAACCCTCTGTAACCTTTGGTCATGACTCTTTTGAGTAAACTGTGGCTTCTCAATCCAACAACAAGTATTATTTTAATTATACAATTTACTAAATAAAACTTCTTAACTGAGAGAAGTTGTTTGTCTGAAGTCCTAAACATCTTTTTAAAACACGACTCTCACAACAGTGTGTCAGCAACACTGCTACCTTTATTTAACCTTGCTCAGCTCTTATCTGAGTCATGAGCTCGCCTGATGGGGGGGGGAAAGAAAAAAAAAACATTGTTTCAACACGTTTGATGTTGAGAAAAAACGTGATTTGAATCCAGGCCAGCCTTCAACAGTGCCAGCAGATACTTTACAATGAGAAGTGTCAATGAGAGCAACACTAACACATCTGTCAGCTCAGCTCAGACGCGAGGGAGCATTCACACTGGTCGCCTTGCAAAACTTGCAAAAAGAAGGCGAAAGAGAAAAGAGACATAATGTTTTGCGGGTCGATATGTTTTCAGACATTACAGCAGCCGTGTAATACTCACTGTGTGAATATCCTCAGTCCCTGCAGAGTTGGGAAACTCAGAATAACTGCAGCCATAGCTACCAACTAGCAGTCACTGATGCTAGCCGCTAAGTGACCAGCTGAGGAGGAAAAAGCGAAGCGGTAATTTACTAAACAGCTCATACACAGTTTACTTCTACATTCACGCTGCGGGAAACCACTCAAACGTAAAGCAAAAGATAACTAATAAGGGATTTAAATGACACAATCGCACTTATATACTGCCACACGCTTGTAATTGTCTGTATTAACGCGTATGAACCTTCCAGGGACTCGTAGTATCGACAGCCAATGAGAGAGCGCGATAAAGAGGCGGGGAGCAGGCTGCAGTTACCAAACACAACCACCAGATGGCGGCGTTTCTCTGTCCAACAGGTGGTGAACAACTAATTAATAAAGGAGAAATCACACGTATAGTAATATAATAAAACTCTCGGATGCTACTAATTTTATACTTCCATACAAACAGGTGGACAAACTTGTTTATAATGTGATTAATTGTATTTATTTTGTCTGTTTAAGTTTATTGTTAAATCTGCAGTTCCACACCAGCCCAGTGGTTGGCGGTAGTGCGAATATCAGCCAATGAACAGGAAGTCGAAGAGGAAGATTTCTCATGCACAGCTTACTATTATTTGTTTTTTGGTGCAAACTTTGAGCCAACAGTGTCACTGCTATTACAAACACACACAGACATGTACCGCTGCATGTCGAGGTAAGACCCGACCACTCACTCCTCTTTTATTTATAATGACTGCATGCATTTATCTGTCTATTTGCAGTAGACACATTGTATGTCTTGGTGACCTTTGGCACACATTTCTGTTGTTTTTGTGCAGTGTATGCTTGTCAAAGTCAGAAATGTAAATGAATACGCCAATAACAAAGACTGTTAGTTCGAGGGGTTAAAGTGGACTTTTCTATTCACTAAAACGCGTTATGTGTGTCATTGAGGTCTCAGCAGCCTCCAGAATGGCCATAAAGTTAAATCTGCAGCACTTTAAAGAAGGTTTAGAGTCAAACTGAACATTAAAGCCCTCATGAAGGTGGGTTTTATTGCAGGCCTGTTGTATTATACTAGTTATTCAATACATTGTACAGTCATTTCATCCTGCACGAAGTAATAAAAACCCTATCAAATGAAAGTCATTTGGATCTGTGTCTATATGTGGAGTCCTAAATGTGAAAGAGTTTATTGTGCATATAGATTAACAGTTAACTGGTGAGCGATTGCAGATGCACGTGTTCAGTTGTGTTCTTTGCTCTCTCTCTCTCTCTCTCTCTGTTTTCATTTCCGAGGAGTGTTTGTAGCACAGTGAGAGTGTGTCCTGCCTTCGCGTCTCCTGCCTTCACGTCTCCTTACACCCAGTCACCATCATGGACAAACGCAGGAGAGGAGAGACTTCACAGGTGAGTACATTGTCTGTTCTTGGATCCATACGCAGTCTGTTTCACTTCAGCTTGAAGGTTCCTAGTGAAGATCAAGATCCACCTACTGGACATTTTCCAAAGCTTTTACCTGTATCTCATGGCTTACAAACCTCTTACTGACAGTGGACCATGCCTGTGAATTATTATTATTCCTGTGGTGCAGGGAGGCTAAGCAGGATTGGCAGCGTTCAGTCCGCTGTATGAGCTCTGCAGCCAGGAGGAGGAGAACTCTACGCAGTGCCTTCCCGGTGCTGGAGCAGCCCCTCCAGCCCATCCACCGACATGTGTATGAAGCTAACCTCCGAAACAGCAACTCCTGCCATAAGAAGTAGGCTCCTCTCTCGCCAGTTACTGAAATGAATCTATAAATGCATGTCATTCACTATCTCCCTCTCTCTGTCTGTAAGGTACATGGAGTTGCGTGAAAAGGTAATGAAAGGGGGAGGAGAAAATGCCATGACCAGACACACCCAGAGGAACAGGAAGGTGCTGGTCAGGGATCGGCTGCGCCTCCTGCTGGATGATGAGGACTTCCTGGAGCTGTCATCGTTCGCCGGTCTGGGTCTGCCATATGGGGACATCCCTTCAGCCGGCTGCCTGACTGGTCAGAAACCACTAGCTGCAATCCTGTACCTTTGGTACTAAC